CATGTTAAGCCCAAAATAAAGGTTAGGCAACAAAAAGAATGAAACCGCTTATGCAAATAGCCACCGGACACAGCTTACGCGAGATAAGATAACCGCAAACGCTTACACCAACTAAACCAGAGACCGCTTATGCTAACATAAGATAACTGCAAGATGTTCCAGGAACTGGCAGAAATAAGACAAACCACTCCTTATAAGGACATAGGAGTAGAGGGGTCAAAAGAGGAAGACTTCTTACTTCGGCCTCAACGACCACCAGGAGGCAGAAAACGACCCCCTAACAACAACTGAAGCATGCGCAGAGTGCCTCCACTACCTCATGAACACGGAAGTAAAGATGTATAAAAAGAGGGCTGTTTGAACTTATCAGCACGGCAGTTGGCGGAGTGCAGACTCCCCTGTCGTCCAGCGCTGTTTTTGCTCATATTCTACTTGCTATAATTAATAAAATTTTAATTGGATTATGATCCGTTGTGGTCTCAATTTATAACAATTTCTGGTGCCGTGACTCGGATAAGGAACGGTGGGCTTTGGTCCTCCAGGGAGGCGCCCCGCGACATTTTGCGGCCCCGCGACCAACAGCTTACCCCAGCCTTATCGACGAACCTAAATTCTAGAATAATGAGCAAAGGAGAAACCGGTAAAATCCCATAAAATTCTGTGCACAGGAGTCCAGACGAAGACGCAGGACGCGTAAGTATATTGCGAATTTGTTTGCGGGTTTGCCGTTCGGGCGGGATTGGGTTTCGTGGAATATAACGAGTGAGAGGTTCGATATACTGAACCAAGCGAGTGTGGACCCTTAAGTACTGCGTTTCCCATCTCCCGCGAGGGACTGGGCCAGGAACAAGGGGGAGCGAGTGAGTGTGTGTTTGAGGATATTCCAGAAGATGGGGGCGAAGGGCAGCAAGCCTTCGACTCCCATGGGAAGGGTACCCACTGTACCTAAGAATACCCCTCTGGCATATATCTTAGACAATTGGAGATATTTCCCTGGAACCCTAGGGAAAGATAAGCAGAAAATGATAGAATATTGTACTAAGATATGGGGAGGGAAGAAGATTTCTAAAAATGTCTTTTGGCCAGTCTATGGCTCAGAAGAAGATTGGGTAAGACAGCAATTAAACCTCTGGTTTAATAATAAAAAACTCCTTAACCCGGAGGAGAGTCAATATGCGGAAGTGTGGCTAGAAAGACCGGGAGCTAGACTTTATCCGCTGAATGAAATAAAAACTAAACAAAAGAAAAAGAAGGAAGAGTTAGATGAAACCCTTCTAACCCCCTCTCCTTACATTCCTCCTCCTGTTCCCGCAGCCCCTCCAGAGGTCCCCAGAGCGCCCACTCCCCCACCAGAATCGGAATAAGGGTCTCCCCCTCCTCCTAGACGTGTAACTAGAAGTCAAAAAGGGGCAGCTCAGATGTACCCCCTAAGGGAAATACCCATGGGGGGACCTCAACCTGTGATTGGATATATTTCCGTACCCTTAAACTCGACTGACCTACGAGATTTTAAAAGAACCGAGATGGGAAACTTAATTGAGGACCCACTCGGAGTGGCAGAAAGACTAGATCAATTTTTGGGACCAAACCTTTATACTTGGGATGAGATGCAATCTATCCTTGGTCAATTATTTACTACCGAGGAAAGAGATATGATTAGACGAGCAGGAATGAGACTGTGGGATGCTCAACATGCCCAGGGACCTCAAGCAGATATTAAATGGCCACTCCAAAGACCTAATTGGGATAATCAGGATCCGGTGCATAGAACTCATATGCAGGACCTGAGAACTATAGTAATTCAGGGAATTAGAGGAGCAGTACCCCGGGGCCAAAATATCAATAAAGCATTTAATGAAATGCAAAAGAAAGATGAAAGCCCTACTGAGTGGCTGGAACGACTGAGGAAAGCCCTTCAGCTGTACTCTGGGGTAAATCCAGACGACCCTTTAGGGCAAGCGCTCCTCAAAACTCAGTTTGTGGCAAAATCATGGGAAGATATCAGAAAGAAGATTGAAAAGTTAGAAGACTGGCAGAATAGAGGGTTGGATGAATTATTGAGGGAAGCTCAGAAAGTCTACGTAAGGCGGGAAGAAGAGAGCAGCAAGCGACAAGTAAAAATGATGGTAGCAGCGGTCAGAGAGGATCGCAAAGGGCGAACTGGTGAACACAGATCTGCTAGGACGAAACAAGGGAACGTAGTAGTAGAAAAGGAACAGAGATATTGTTTTTACTGTGGAAAGAAGGGACATATAAAAAAGAATTGCAGAGAAAGGATCAGGGATGAGGAAATATTGAAAACGGAATAGGAGAGTCAGGGGCTCTATATCTTAGGGGACCGGAGTCATCATGAGCCCTTGATAAAATTAAAAATAGGTCCCCATAAACAAGAGTTCACCTTTTTAGTAGACACTGGGGCTGAGAAATCAGCCATTAAGCAACTACCTGAGGGATGTAAAGTGTCCCCTGAAAAGGTACAAGTAATTGGGGCAAAAGGAGAACCCTTTAAAGTAAACAAAATCAAAAATGTGGTATTCGAAACTGAAAATAAATTTGGAATGGGTGAACTCTTGCTCGTCCCTGAAGCAGAATTTAATCTGTTAGGACGAGATTTAATTGTTGAATTGCAATTAGAAATTAAAGTAAAAAATCAAGAGCTAACAGTGTCCGCTTATCCTTTGACCGTGGATGATCAAAAACAAATTAACCCCGATGTCTGGTACTCTCCGGACACAATTAGTAGACTGGAAATTCCACCGATTAAAATCCAAATTTCCGAACCCCACATATCTGTGAGGGTAAGGCAATATCCCATATCCCTAGAAGGACGGAGAGAATTAAAACCAGAAATTGATCGATTGTTAACACAAGGAATCTTAGAGCCTTGTATGTCACCCTTTAACACCCCCATTTTGCCTGTAAAGAAACCAAATGGGAAATATCGGCTTGTACATGATTTAAGAGAAATAAACAAGAGAACTATCACCCGGTTCCCTGTAGTAGCAAATCCATACACACTGTTAAGCAAGCTAGGACCCCATAACTCCTGGTATAGTGTGGTTGATTTGAAGGATGCCTTTTGGGCCTGTCCACTGGCAGAAGAATGCCGTGATTATTTTGCCTTTGAATGGGAAGACATAGAGACAGGCCGTAGACAGCAATTGAGATGGACTGTGCTTCCCCAAGGGTTCACTGAGTCCCCTAATCTGTTTGGACAGGCCCTGGAAGAGCTCTTAAAAGAATACCAGGTACAAACAGGGAACGTGCTGTTACAGTATGTAGATGATCTGCTCATAGCAGGGAATAATAAGGAGGATGTAAGGAAAGAAAGCATTCGACTTTTAAACTTTCTTGCACAAAAGGGCCTACGGGTATCACAAGAAAAGTTACAATTTGTGGAGGAAAAAGTGAAATATCTGGGACATTATCTATTTAACGGCCAGAAGATATTAGATCCAGAGCGTATTAAAGGAATTCTGGAATTACCTATGCCTGTCACTAAGAGGCAAATTCGGCAGGCATTAGGGCTATTTGGGTATTGTAGGCAATGGATAGAGAACTACAGCTTTAAAGTTAAATTCTTATATGAACAACTGTCTAGAGACAAAATACCCAAGTGGACTCCTCAGGATCAAGAGCAGTTTGCCAGTCTCAAAAGGGAGCTAAGTCAAGCACCGGTTTTAAGTCTCCCAGATTTAAAGCGGCCATTCCATTTATTTGTTAACATACATGAAGGAACGGCATTCGGAGTATTAACTCAGGAATGGGCCGGACAAAAGAAACCGGTGGCATACCTATCAAAGCTGTTGGACCCTGTGAGCAGGGGTTGGCCGAGTTGTTTACAAATCATTGTTGCTGCTGCCTTATTACTTGAGGAAACGAATCGCATTACCTTTAATGGAGAAGTTGTCTTATATGCGCCTCATAACATCAGGGGAGTGTTACAACAAAAAGCAGAAAAATGGCTTACAGATAGCCGATTATTAAAGTATGAGGGAATACTTATAGAATCCCCTAAGCTATCTTTGAAAACTATTGGAGCGTTTAACCCCGCTGAATTTTTGTACCCAGGAGAAGGTAATGAACTATTGCACAATTGTTTTCAAACAATTGAACAACAGACACGCATTAGGCCAGATTTAGAAGAAGAAGAACTACAATGTGGAGAAATATTATTTATAGATGGGTCATCACGAATAGTGGAAGGTAAACGATTGTCCGGATATGCCATCGTTAAGTTGGAAAAAGGAGAATTTAAGACAATAGAATCAGGCCCCGAGTGCCAGCTGGTCGGCTCAAGCCTGTGAGTTGTATGCATTGTAGAAAGCATTAGTGTCACTGAAGGGAAAGGATGGAACTATATATACAGACTCACGCTATGCATTCGGAGTAGTACACACTTTTGGAAAAATATGGGAGGAAAGAGGATTTGTTAACTCACAGGGAAAAGAACTGATACACCCGGAATTAATTCGGCGAGTTCTGGGGGCATTGAAAATGCCAAATAAAATAGCAGTTGTACATATAAAGGGACACCAGCGAGGTACAAGTTATCAAGTTAGGGGAAATAATGCAGCTGATACAGAAGCAAAACGGGTGGCAGGCAATTATAGTATGATTTTGACTATGCAACAAGTACCTGTTAGTAAAGATTTGAGTTTTGAGTCTGCAGAAAAGGAAAAACTAGAACAAATGGGAGCTAAGGAACAAGATGGGAAGTACATATTGCCAGATGGGAGAGAAGTCTTGCCGAAGGGCATAGCACTCGAAATATTTTAAAAAATACACAGTAAAACACACTGGGGAACCCAGGCGTTAGTTGATCATTTCAAACAACAGTTTGCCTGTATAGGCGTATATAACATAGCAAAGACAGTCACGGCAGCCTGTGAGACCTGTCAAAAGGTTAATCGAAGCAACATGAGACAAAAACCTCTTGGAGGACGTTCCCCAGCGTACAGACCTTTCTCACACATACAAGTGGACTTTACTGAACTACCTAGGGTAGGGCGTTACAAATATTTATTAGTAATGGTGGATCATTTAACACATTATGTTGAGGCTTTTCCTACCTCCAGGGCAACTGCTAACCAAGTTACTAAAGTGTTACTTGAACACATTATACCTCGATATGGAGTACCTGAAGTAATCGACTCGGACAGAGGAACACACTTTGTGTCAAAAATTGTTAGAGATCTAACAGAAAGCTTGGGTATTAAGTGGGAATACCATACACCATGGCATCCACAAAGTTCGGGAAAAGTTGAAAGGATAAATGGAGAAATCAAAGCTATTTTGACTAAATTAATAATAGAAACCAAATTATCATGGATTAAGTGCCTACCCATGGCACTATTAATTCTCAGAACCAGACCCTGAGCAGACATAGGAATATCAGCGTTTGAAATGGTGTATGGAATGTCTTATAGAATTGAAAGTCCACAAACAAATGTTTTAATTCGAGACCGTGTAATTAATGAATATGTTTCACAATTAGCAGAACATCGTAACAAGCTTTGGGAACATGGACTGATTGTGCAACGACCCCCGTTGGACTTAAAAATTCACAATGTTAAACCTGGGGATTGGATATTGATCAAAGTGTGGAAGGAAGAAACCCTAAAACCCAATTGGGAGGGACCTTATCTTGTTTTGCTTACAACAGAAACAGCTGTCCGAACTGCTGAGCGTGGATGGACTCATGCTAGTCGCCTTAAAGGCCCAGTGACGAGACCCCACTGGAAAGTAATCAGTACTCCAGGTGACACCAAGATAACCCTGAAAAGATAACGTAATGATAGAGACTTTATTTGATTTTTTTGTTGCATTACCTTTTGGTATAAAGTGTGTATTGCTGTTTATATTTGCTATAATTATTTCTCTTTTTATCTATTATATATGGAAGCATACAAAGTGTGTTGAAGGAAATTGCTAAACATATGCAACCACACAATAGTGAATATAGAAGATATGCTGATGTAAATAATATATGTACTCTAGATATACGAATTAGATGTAATAATTTGAACTGCAATTGTTATCCATTTGCTTGTTTTAGGTGTAAGGTATGTCAGGATAAATGGTGGACACACTGTGAATATGGATACCCTCCAATAGGAGTTTGCACACAGTGTTGGAAAATCCAAAGAACTCTCAGTGAGTGGAAATTAAAACAATTAGAGTCTAAACAAGAAATTATTCGGGAATGCCATGAGTGGTGGGAGATTTTTGCCAAAGGAATAAACCCTCAATATTATTGTTACCACTCCAACAAACCAGTCCCCTTTGTGGCTGAAATCTTGGCTATAAAGTGCAGGAGGGAAGTACTAACCGTGTCTTGCTTTGCCCCATTAGTTAAAGCTGCAAAGTGGGAAGCCTGTATAAACAGGCAGAAATCCCGAAACAGCTGTTCTCCTGAAGAATTCCCTTGCTGCCGAGAAGATGGTACACCCCGTGACTCGAAGCAACCGAGCCGACGGGCAAGGCAGAGGAGGAACAAAATGTGGAGAAAAGACCCAGAACAATGGGACGCAAAGGCAGCAATGGCCGAACTTCCCCAGGACTGGTAAAAATATACTTAAATTGGCAAAATTGACAGACACCCTTTTTCCTGGTATACCGTTAGTTTTGTTATTGATAATAACCCAAGCAAATGGAAACCCTCATGAACCTATGAACTGGACAATAACAAACATAAACTATCCAAATAATCCAATCCAAGCACAAGCTACACCGGGCCCAATTAGTTTCAATGTGAGTTTGCATGACCTAATTACTGAAGAAGATCATAAATATGAGGCGGATATATGTAAACCAATTTATATATGTCCAGCATCAAACCCTGGTAAAGTATACTGTAACTCTCCAGGTCATTATTACTGTGCATATTGGGGCTGCGAAACATGGGCCTCTGAGTGGTCCGCACCTGGAGACCAATATCTAGAAATAAAGTGGTCACCGGAAGGATGCAAGAGACCTAAATTACACGGAGACCGGTGGGGTCATTGCTTAAGTAAACCGAATCCTTGTGTGGGCATCAATATAACTATAAAAAATCCTGCTCAGGACTTTTGGCTGGCAGGGAAATATTGGGGAATTAGATATTGGGAAACAGGTGCAGACAGAGGAGGAATTTTTCGAATAATGAAAAAATCGATGCCCCACGATCCCCTACCAGTAGGACCAAATCTGGTCCTGAATCCACCCACTTTCTCTGAAGAAAAGGTTGCCCCCGCAAGTGTCGCAACCACTTCTCCAAACTCCCTTTCGGAAACAACTAATGACATTATATCCAGGGATCTAGAGTTGTCAGAATCCAAAGACCCCTTATGGAATCTAATGCAAGCCTCTTATCGTGCCCTTAATGAAAGCAAACCAAATTTAACTGAAGAATGTTGGTTATGTTATAATGTTAAACCACCATATTTTGAGGCAATTGGAAAACCAGGTAGGATTCAATGGTCTAATGGTTCAAACCCACGAGAATGCCCATGGAATGACCAGAGGAACCATACGCAAGGAATTACTATTCAATTAGTAACAGGTCAAGGAAAATGTATAGGTACAGTGCCCAAAAAGTATCAGCCTTTGTGCAACCGAGCAGTCACTATAGAGAAACACACTATAGAGAAACACAAGAATAAAAATGATAAATGGGCTATCCCGACACCAGGAGCTAAATGGGTTTGCTCAGACATCGGAGTAACGCCTTGTCTATCCCTAAAAGTGTTTAATCAATCTCAGTTTTGCGTACAGGTGATTATTGTTCCTCGTCTGATCTATCACACCTCTGAGGAGGTGTTACGCCACTTTGAAGGAGACCTGAATAGACAAAAACGAGAGCCAATTACAGTGGTAACCTTAGCTACATTGCTGATAGCGGGCGGAGTTGGAGCAGGTACAGGCATAGCCTCCCTAGTAAAAGGTCAGGAATTACAAAGTTTACAGATGGCTGTAGATGAGGATTTAGCAAAAATAGAACGATCTATCCAAAATTTAGCCACTTCAGTAAAGTCTTTATCAGAAGTAGTACTGCAAAATAGAAGAGGGCTAGATCTATTGTTCCTAAAGGAAGGAGGGTTATGTGTAGCTCTCAATGAAGAATGTTGCTCTTTTGCTGACCATACGGGAGTAGTCCAGGACACTATGTCTGAACTCCGGAAAAGGTTAGATCAACGTAAGAAAGATCGTGAGGCGGGCAGGTCATGGTATGAAAATTGGTTTAATATTTCACCTTGGCTAACCACTTTGTTGTCTGCTTTAGCAGGACCGCTTATTATGTTGATTCTGGGACTTATATTTGGGCCTTGTATATTACGCTATATTTTACACTTTATTAGAGAACGGTTTGACATAGCTAAACTGCTTATTTTAACTACGAGGTCTGGGGCAAAATATAAGAGTGTATCTATTGATGAGAATGAAGATTGTTGTGAATGTGTTATGCCACGTGGGGGCTACGCCTATTGTAATTGTGAGGTATTACCTTGTGAGTGTTATGATAAATGTTGGGATTGTGGAAAAAGGTTTATTTGCAGTGCCGAGAATGAAAGCAGCGTCTAATAAACAATAATAGGATAAAAAGAAAAAGGGGGGATTGTGAGAAACTATAAACTAGGATATTGTTTATTAAGATATATGTTAAGCCCAAAATAAAGGTTAGGCAACAAAAAGATATGAAACCGCTTATGCAAATAGCCACCGGACACAGCTTACGCGAGATAAGATAACCGCAAACGCTTACACCAACTAAACCAGAGACCGCTTATGCTAACATAAGATAACTGCAAGATATTCCAGGAACTGGCAGAAATAAGACAAACCACTCCATATAAGGACATAGGAGTAGAGGGGTCAAAAGAGGAAGACTTCTTACTTCGGCCTCAACGACCACCAGGAGGCAGAAAACGACCCCCTAACAACAACTGAAGCATGCGCAGAGTACCTCCACTACCTCATGAACACGGAAGTAAAGATGTATAAAAAGGGGGCTGTTTGAACTGATCAGCACGGCAGTTGGCGGAGCGCAGACTCCCCTGTCGTCCAGCGCTGGTTTTGCTCATATTCTACTTGCTATAATTAATAAAATTTTAATTGGATTATGATCTGTTGTGGTCTCAATTTATAACAGTTTAACAATCTCATTTTCTGCTCCCAATGCACACTTGTTTTAATGCATTTCAGTCAATGAGGTAGAAGAAAATGAGCAGCCCTGGAGAGATAAGTGATAGCAGAATAGACTCCACAACTTCGTTAAAGTTGTAAAGTAGGTATGCTTTATTCAGCTGAAGACGCACGGGGGATTGGTCCTCCAAAAGGCATGCGTGCCTCAGTGCCGTTTTCCTTTTACATTTATCCTGTAAAGTCATACATAGGTATTAGGTCGCACAATACGCCTATACATATTCATATTTTATCCCCGCTTCGTATTATAATGAGCTAAAAGGCGCTCCACGCATGCGCAGTGCCTCCTGGTGGTCTTGGGCAGGGGTCTTCAGATGAAGTAAGTAGTCTTCCTCTTGTGGGTAGGGGTCTTCAAGATGAAGTAAACGAGTCTTCCTCAGGCTTGAACTTTTTACCTCTGGTCCTCACACATGCTCTTTAGGAGCTGGATGGGTCTGGTCTATGTCCAACTGGTTTAATGAGCTATTCCCTTCGTTAGGAGGTTCTATCCTGGTACTGCCTGATAAGGCATCTGCTGAGCTTGTCAAACAAGCTATAACTTAGGCAGTATCCCCTTGTACAACCCCCCTCTATTCTCCTCATTAGGAGGTTCTATCCTGGTACTGCCTGATAAGGCATCTGCTAAGCTTGTCAAGCCAGCTATAACTTAAGCAGTACCCCCTTGTACAACCCCTCTCTGTACATTTTGTCTAACCCCCTTGTACAACCCCCCTGTTCACAATAGGCCACATCAGTTTCAACTGTTTATGTACAGACAGCAAGTCTGTGTGAAGGACTTCGGAGCCCACGCAGTCCCTTCCCATTGCTCTCAAAGGGACAATATTAGCTGGTGTTTATAGAAAAATTTATTGGCTGTGGTTTATCCAGGTAATTTTTTTCCTAGTGGTACACATTTCTCTCTCGTGCTTTCTTTACGCATTATTACAAACTACAAGACATGTCGCCAGAAGCTTGTCTGTGGGTAAGGAATGTTAGTGCGCTGAGGTGTCCGGAATTGGTGTCTCACAGAACATGGCAATGTATTTGATCACTGCAAAATTGCTGCAATCTACCTGGGGTAAAAAGTTCATGTGTGCCCTGAAGTAATTTATGGCTGGGGCATCTCATCCCTCCATTGTTTCACTGCCATGATGTTTGCAGGTCCTAGTGAGTCAGAGCTTCTTGGTGCAGGCGTTGTGCAGGCAGGTTCATGAGCCAGGTGCCTGGGGAGAGCAGAGAGCTCAGCCCCGTGGTGTCTCCTCCTGAAGAGAAGGTGTGCCATGGTGATGGGACACACAGCACACGCTTGGGGCTGTGCTTCCAGTGCTCTAGCGAGAGGGACTCTGCCTTCCTGAAAAACAGGCTGTCTTTGTGCTGATGGCAAATATTTGCTGTGGGGTAGGCTGGAGCTGTGTTTCTCCGAGCAGCATCCCAGCCCTGCATCTGGCTCGCTGCTGGTGAGAAGGGCCTATAAGCAGTTAACACTGTTACCTCATTGCTGGCCCACTGCCATGGCCTGTCACCAGTTGGCTGACAGAGAGCCTGAAAGACCCTGAACATTGTACCACTTTGAAGGTAAAGCTGCTGTTAGTTTAAGCGTGAATTAAGCAATTACCACATCTTAGTTCTCCCCACCTTCCGTGGATTGACTCTATAAATTGTCAGCCAGTTGACATTTGAATGTGAATTATGTCATATGGTATCCCCTTTGATTTCAACATGCCTTAGTTTGTAAATACATGAGCCTCTCAAAAGGTTGTGGTTAGCATACATGTAGGAAGCCTTGGGTTTTTTGGTGGGGAAGGAGCACAGCGCTGTCTTGGCAACAAGTGTGCCTGCCACAGCGTGGAGCTAGAGGCATATGCAGTGAGGGCTGCCTGGAGCACCTGTGTCTGGCAGGGCTCCCTGTGTGCAGTGGGTCCAGGCAGCCCAGAGACCCTGGCCGGTGCTGCATCCTCCAGCCTCCCTTGCTGTGGGGTCCCTCTGCTTCCCTGGCTCAGCATGGGGTAAGAGCTGCCCACATCTGCAAGAGGAAGGGGGCTTCTCCACTCTCTGTTGTTGGTCTTTCCAGGCCAGAGACAGAAACTAAGGGGGTGCTGGTACTATGCAGAGACTTGGGGTAGTGGCGAAGCTGCGTGTGGTCATGTCAAAAACTTTTTGGCAGGTGGCCCTGACTGGTTAAAAACCTGCCCCAGGGAGTGCGAGCGACCAGGAGCGCGGCGAACAGAGCGGGTCGAGGCAGTTTGCGCGGCAGTTCGCACGGGCCGGCAAGAGGGATGGTGAGCACTCGCTGTATGACCAAGGCCTGG